GAGTTCTTGTCAGTCGGATACATAGCTAAAAGCAACAAAAAAAGTGTGCGCTACGCGAAAGAGGGACCAAGCATTTGCTGGCGCCCTTGCTAACCACTAGACTACTCCAGTATTCTTGTCAAAGCTGAGATAGATGGTTCATCCTTCGACAAAACCTCATAGCCTTTTCACGCTCTCACGAAACTAGTTCTAATAGTTTGGACATACTTGTTGGTTGTCATATGGTTTCAACATTAAATAGTTTAATTAATATGTCAGCTAACAACAACTGTTTTAGTCAATTTTAGTCGATTTTTAACCCAAAAACGGTTATTGTTTTTTAGAAGCTGGATATTTTGAAAACCTATTAAAAATAGAAAATATATTTTAGAAAATGTGTTCAGTATTCGGTTTTTAGCTAGTTCCCGTATAAACTGGTCAATTCTACTCTTCTTAATTAAAAGGTAGAGCTCTTGTTGGTTGCTCGAAAAAAATATGTTTCGTATGTGTTTTATAAAAAAGTCCAGTGTATATTTAAAAAATTAACCATATATTGAAACAATGTTTAGTGTGTATCAAAAAAAAGTTCGTCGTCTAATTTAAAAAGTTCGCATATTAAAAAATGTTCAATGTACATAAAAAATGGTCGACATTATATAATCATGTTCAGTGTGTATGTATATGATAATTTTCAGAGTGTACTTTTCAAATCTTCAACGTATAGTAAAAAGTTCAATGTGTATTTGAAAAATATGTTCACCATATATTAAAAAGAAAGTTTACCATATAAGCCCTGAACGTTTCGTAATAAAGCTTTTTGCTTACCCTAAAAAAACCTACATAAAAATAGAAGTGTGCAAAAATAAAAGAATATGAAGAAAACCAAATATCCGAAAAGAAGATAAAAACAAAACAGAAAACACACGTAAGGAAACGAAACAGCTGAAAAAATCCGGTCGGTCTGGAAGCCAACTTCAGCAAAGCTGATCGCCGACCGACCAGGATGTGTCTCTTTTTTTTTGAAAACGGGCAAAAGATTTGCCACGTATATTAATTAAGAGAGAATAGAGTTTGTGTTACAAACACCCCTTAACAATACACGGAAGAATCACTCTCCCGGCATGATGGACCCTAGCTTCTTAGCTCCAGCGGCGACCCAAAATGATGCCTCCCTTTTGATGTTGTCGAGAAGAACCGTAGGCGGAGCGGCCATGTTGCGGAATACACGAGCATTTCGCTCGTTCCAGATCGTCCATGTAGTGAGCATGGTGAGCGAGGCCATGGCCTTCCGGTTGGGGACGGAAGTATCAGTCAACCCAAGCCACCAGTCTAAGGTGGAATGCCTCAGGGGCCAAGTAGAGGTGTCAATGTGAATGAGTTGCAGCCACGCCTTGACCAAGCCCCATAGGCGAACGGTGAAACGACATTTGAAGAAGAGATGGTCAACCGATTCATTCTCACGCATGCATAGGGGGCATGAGCCACAGTTAGGCCAACCACGCTTGGCCAATCGATCCGCAGTCCAGACTCTATTTTGGATGGCCAGCCAAGCAAAGAACTTGACCTTGGGTGGAGCCCAGATTTTCCACACTGCATGCTCCAAGGGAGAGCGAATGAGGCCGAGAAATTGCACTTTGTAGGCGGACTCCACCGTGTAGAGGCCACTAGTAGAATGCTTCCAAACAATGTCGTCGTCAATATCCTCCTATAGGTGAAAATCCCGGATGGTGGC